TAACCCTAACCCTAACCCTAACCCTAACCCTAACCCTAACCCTAACCCTAACCCTAACCCTAACCCTAACATGCTATATTTGCAATCCAGCTTAGCGCTTAGCTTTTTCTTTCCAACTTTACTTTCTATCTTTTTTAAAAAAAACTCCAGCTTAGCGCTTAGTTTCTTTTTAGCTTTTTTAGCGGTTAGCGTTTTTTTTTCTTTTTTTAATATAGCGGTGGGTGTGGCGGTGGGTGTGGCGGTGGGTGTGGCGGTGGGTGTGGCGGGGGTCGGGTAGGCTAGTGTAGGGAAAAGCTTTTCCCCACGATTTTTAACTCCGTCGGCGATAATCTTTTTTTGCTAATAAAATTTTATTTTTATTTATAACTACGTTATTTTACGGTGCATCAAAATAAAAAATATACCGTTAGAATCCTTATTTTTCGGGCTTTTTAACGCTAGTCTAATTTTATCGATCGGATATAATTTAGTGGAGTTATAGCTAGATTCGTATCAAATAAACTCTACGTTCCCAATCGAACGAATTCTACCCCCGGCCTTTTCGGTAGAGACAAAAGTGCCCATACAAAATGGACGAACTATATATAAAATTCGTCCAGGCTGTGGGATAGGCTTATATAAAAAAAAAATAATAATAATAATAATAACGGTAATAAATAAATTAAAAATAATTATTATAATAAAATTATTATTATATATAATAATAAATACGATAATATTATATAACCGGGTTAAGCTTATATAAAAAATAACGCGTAAAATTAACGTAAAATTAAATAAACGCAAATATCGATTTTTTTTTATATTAAGCATTTAATACCGATAATAAAATATTATATAATCGTAAGCGTAATATATAAAATTAAATATAAAATAATATTATAATTAACCCGGAAATAGCTTAAAATAAAAAATAATAAAAACTAATAAAAAAAAAACCTAATTAAATTCGGCTAATAATAATAATAATAATAATAATAATAATAATAATTTACGATTTTTTAGCTTAAAATATAATTAAATTAATAAAAAAAATAATTTAAAAATTTTTATTTAAACAAAAAAAAAATAATAAATTTAAAAAAAAAAATATATTATAAAACGCGTAAAATATTAATTATAATCGAAAATAATAACCGGTAATAATTATAATAAAACTAAATTATATAATAAAAATAAAATATAATCGGAATTATATATATATAATATAAAAATAAGCGATAGCTATTATTATAATTATAAAAATTAATTATAATTATAATAAAAATAATAATAATAATTAATAATTATATTATAATTATTATATATAATTATTTAACCATTACATAAATAAATTATAATAAATAAATTAAAATAAAAAAATAAAAGGCTAACGTTTTTAAAAAAAATAAATAACTTTTAAATAAAAAATAATATAAATATATAGCTAAATATTTTGCGGGCTTTAATTAAATAGCTATAAAATATAAATAAAAATATATAAAATATAATTAGGCTAATTAGCTAAATTATAATAACGCGTATTAATAAAATATAACCGGCTATATAATATAAAGCCGAAAAATCGTATAAATACGCGTATTATAATTAGTTAAATTATTAAAAAATTAAAATAAAAATTAAAAAAAAAATAGCGATAGCCGTAAAAAATAAGCTAAATAAATAAAATAAACTAAATAAAATAATAACGGGATTTAATTATAATCGTTATTTATTAGCCTTAATAAAAAACCGCGCCCGTAAACGCCGACGGCGTTAAAAATCGTAAAAAAGCCGTAAAATATAGCGCCGCCCCCGCTTTTAATTAGCCGTATCCTTATACCGCCTTTACCCGCCCTTTAAATAAAAGGCGCTAGGGAATAACGGCCAGGTTTATTTTAAAAACCCGTAATATAATTATTATAATTTATATATTTAATATATAATTTTTTTTAAATATAAATTATTTTAACCCGTATATTTAATATATAATTTCCTTTTTTAATATAAATTATTTTAACCCGTATATTTAATATATAATTTTTTTGCCTAAATATAAATTATTTTAATTTATATATTTAATATACGATTTTTTTAAATATAAATTATCCTAATTTTTATTATATTAAATATTTTATATTAATATTTATTTTTATCGGCTATTTTATATTATTAATTTAATAATTAAATATAAATAATTTAATAATATATATAAATAATTTAATAATATATATAATATTTTTTAAAAATTTAATATATTATAAATTTAAATTTTTTATTTATATTATAATAATTTTTAAATTTATTTAATTTTTAATTTTTAATTAATATAATTAAAATTTTTAAAAATAATA